TGCTGCAGAAGTTTAGCAATGTGTGACTCGTGTCCACTTTTTGGACAACTCTGCTCCATCCAAATTATATATTCGTACCAATTCTCCAAAGGATCGTCTCCTTCATAATTTTTTATTGCAGCTTCATACATTCTAAAATAGTAAACATAGTAATGATAGCTTGAAATTTCAATATTATGAAATCAATAAGATTTCTTTTTCACTTCTGTTTCATTTTTCACATACTGCTTTTCTTGTAAAAGTAATTGCTGAGCATCGGCATCTTCTTGAGCTCTCAAAGCAGTTCCCAGTTGTGCAGCATTTCGTCCATAACGCAAGGGCTGAATATTTTCTTTAGAACGAGCTATGGCTGTTGCAGGGTCCATTTTTAACTCTATATATTCTTAGACAAACTATTTTATATTCTAAAAGAAAGGAGTCAAAATATATAAATATTATCAAAACCGTTGCTAAATGTATGATGGTATACAAGATACTAGAAAAATATTCGTTAAGGATGTTGTCCTGTCAATACTTCATTCCAAGATTTCAAAAACTACTTAGACAGAAAAGAGATAGGGACAATGCAAAACGTCAAAAGTGTAATCAGTGATTTCTTCGATAGAAACGAAACGAAGTTTATAAATTGGCAGATAAAAAAACTAGCGGAAAGGCGAGTAATGATCGTACAAAACTTATCGAGTGAATTGTTGACAAAAAATTGTTTATTTGCATCTCAAGCGTATACCGAAAAGAGCCGCATTAATTATGAAACGGCCTTAATATTTTGGGATGTATTCGGTGAAACACAATACAAACAACCTAAACTAGTCACTAAACAGTGAATGCAAAGCGTAAGTTGTTTTCTCGTGAAACGCTTACCTCTCGTGCGTATCAAAACTTTGCATAATATTCTTTCAATAGCGGCGGGCCTTCAAATTGGAGCAAATCTATTCTTGATAACTCCAATAAGGACGCTATCAGTCTAGGTTACGTTAGTCTTCCATTTAACGGCTACAGGCTACAGGCCACCAACGGTTTTTCACTGTCTTCTGCTATGCTGTGCCTTAAGCCTTAAGTGATGCAAGAGTTACGTTTCGCTAACCACGAATTTTAATTCGATCAGATACACGAGAAATCGAGGACCGATGCAACGATAACTTCACACCGCTTAATACAGTTTTCACGCGAAACCCTATTGAAAATTACCAATGGCACAGCTGTTGCAGAGGGACCTTCACGGTGTATATCTTTCTCGCACCGTGCCCTCGTAATTTCGACTTCACTCTTCTTGGCCATAATAATACTTTCTGTTCTGTACCATCCTTCAGGTTTGTGTATAATGGAGTGCAAGAATAACAAAAATGGCGTAGCATTCCACACACTAAGCGAGATGCGGGTATCTACATTTCTACTATCTGCTTGTTACTCGCTATTTCTTTAAGTAATTGAAAAATCGTCTTTAGAAGTGGAACTCTGAATGAACTACGCAATCGAAACTCGTGCAGTACGCTATACGGTTCTGTAATATTAGAAAAATATTTAGTTTTCCAACGCGTATTTTGATGCTCATTGACTCATTCTACGTATTTTTTTGGCATTGTTTATGTCATATTTTGCGTTTTATGTACTCAAGGAAGAGAGTTTGTTTTGGAGCATACTATAAACAAGAATCATTTGCCTTTTCTTTAAATCTACTGATTGATTTTGCGTTTGAACAGTTCTCTTTTATTAAACTAAAAGGAATACTCGAAACTGTACCTATACTTAGAAATAATTATTGTAATTACAACTACTTTTCGTATAATGTATTTTATGAATAATAGAGAAAAATAGTTCTGACTGCTTCTGTTAGATGGCGCCACTAACTGAAGGGATTATGCTTGTTGCCGAATTAAATAACTATTCATAAGAATAATAAATTTGGACATACTAACACCATATCGAAGTGTTATAAGGCAAAGAATCCTATTAATTATGCATTTATGACAAAAAGAAGAGCAATCGATTAAAAGGTATCCGTGACGTCATCTAACTGGAACAGCCGGAACTATTTTCGCTACAAACTTAGGTGTTTTCTCACCGATGGCGCCACTGGTGCACTAAACCAATCGCCATCTGGTGGCGAAAGTATGAACTATTTTTACTACCATTAGCGTGACTATTATCTCCCGACTTGCGACTATTTGACATTGCCTCTGAAACGGCAAATATTCACATTTAAACATAAATACATTATGAGTTCTTTATATTTTTATACGAATTTTATACGAGAATTAACGAAAATGTTAATAAATTATAATCGCAAATACATACTCTTTTATATGTTTTTATATTATGCACTTTATGAGTTAAAAGCATTAATTGCTACAACTTATAAGTGGAAAATTGTACCCAACAATGTCTTGACGAAATTAATAAAACAATCTTATATCATGAAAAATTATTATGTCGACTGTAATTCTTGTTTGTTGATAAATATGAAATATTTAGAATTGTCTGCACCGACTTGGTACTATGTATGTTCTAAAGCATCCTTGAGAAAGTACAAAATATTACTTATACCTTTAAACAATATCGACGGAAACGAAATATTTGTATCTGAAATCGTTAGACATAACATAGAAAATACATTACAGTGCACCATTGACACTTGTTTCTTATGTAAGTATAAATGGATTATTTATTATTAACAAATTATCCTAGCAATTGAATAATAATAATTATTTAATTTCAGTACCAATAAAACATAATTTTGTTAGTTTTGCTACAGAGGTGAAAATTTCTATGATATCAAATCCATATGAAAGTACAAACGATGTAGTAAGTACTGTGTTAGAAAATTACTTTTCCAAACCTCGATTTTTAAGGAGAAATGATTTATTTGGTATCAATGTAAAAGAGCACATATCGGATCAAGTGTATTTACATAGCAACCCTTCCTTGTCTGTGATATATTTTAAAGTTAATTCTATTAAAGTTGTTGATAATAAAAATTGTACAAATAATAATTGCTCGTACATTTTACGTGGAGAAACAACACTTATTCAAGAGCCAAATATCCATAGTTACTTACCTCGAAAACATTCTTACCTTGAAGAAACCACAGAGATGTTAATAGAACCGTATCCACCAAATTTTAAAGAGCCTTTGGAACATTTAGAACACTGTATTTTGCCATTCATAAACTGTGGTAAAACTTATTGCTTGAAAATAAACCATAACTATACAGTCCTAGCAATGCATTTAATATTTAGCATCTTATATTTCTTCTAGATATTCGATTACCCATAAAGCCAATATTTCTTGTTAGGGGACCACAGGGTTCTAACAAATGCAAGTTAATTCAAACCGTATCTGAAAAATTGGGTTTGAATTTTCTTTGTACAGACTTTGCAGAAGTTCAAGCGTTAACATCCGCTCAAACGGAGGCTAAGCTACGTATCGTGTTACATAACGCTAAGCAATCTGTGCCATGTATACTTTATTTAAACAATATAGAGGTATTTGGAAAAAATTCTGAGGGCCAAAAGGATGAAAGAATTATATCAACGTTTTCAACCGAAGTATCCGCGCTATACGATAAATATGTAAAGTATCCTGTTATTATAGTAGCTACTACAAGTGAATCTGATATATCAGCAGAACTGAGCAGAATGTTCATTGAAACAATTTATGTGGACCACCTAGATCAAAATAAAAGGGTAGATTTAATTTCATGGCTACTTGCAAAAAGAAATTTGTGTCACAAAGTGAATTTATCAAAGATATCTGGAATGTGTTCGGACTTTAGATCTTCGGATCTTAGAGCCCTGATATTTAACGCTGTAAAATTTCATTGCAAAAGGAGCGATAGTAAAGATTTGGAATCGTTAACGCTATCGCAAGAAGATTTTGATCAGGCTTATGGTAAAATCACGGTAACCGTAAAAAAAAATTATCATTATTTACGATACTTTCATTTTAATCATTTTGATGTGTATTTATAGAGTATATGCAATCTATATACACCGACTGCAAGGGAGTACCACGCGTACCAAAAGTTCATTGGGAAGACATAGGTGGTTTAGCGGATTTAAAACATGAAATTATGCGTCGAATTCAGCTCCCACTGTTGAATGCTCTTGGATTCGGTCAGTCTGGACTGCTTTTGTACGGGCCCCCTGGAACTGGGAAGACGCTTCTCGCTAAGGCCGTTGCGACGGAGTATCAACTTCATTTCTTATCGATTAAAGGTCCCGAGATGTTGAACATGTACGTCGGTCAAAGCGAGAAAAATGTTAGACAAGGTAAAACTTTAAGGATTATGGACGATAGAATACATGATTAGACGTGTGTTTTAAAACATAAACGTAAACAATGGATTATCGTCCGTAGTATTCGAGCGAGCAAGAGCTGCGGCTCCGTGTATAATATTTTTTGACGAGCTGGACTCATTGGCTCCCAATCGTGGTCGCAGCGGTGATAGCGGAGGAGTCATGGACCGCGTGGTATCCCAGTTACTCGCCGAAATGGATGGCCTCGATTCCTCCAGCAATATATTTATTATAGGCGCTACGAACAGGCCAGACCTCATCGATCGTGCCCTTCTCAGACCTGGTCGTTTCGACAAATTACTATACGTCGGAATTCATTCCAACCGTGATTCGCAATTAAAAGTACTGGAGGCGTTGACTCGTAAATTCAAATTGCGCGAAAACGGAGAAGAATTATCGAAACTGGTACACGAGTTACCGGATCACACGACTGGCGCTGACCTGTATTCTGTCTGTTCCAACGCGTGGTTGAACGCTGCACGTAGAGTCTTGAGCGAACACGATCAGTCTACTTTCGACAAGATCGAATCGAACGATTCGGTTACCGTGGATCTGGAAGACTTCTTGAAAGCCGCACGCGAATTCATTCCCTCGGTCAGCGAAGACGAAGCTGAAAGATACAGAAGGATGCAGACGGAATTATTTTCGATATCGTAGCGATGTTAAACGTTCTACGGTCTTATAAACCACATGTCGATTTATTTCGGGAAATATGTAAAACAATTTTTACAACGAATAATTAAATCAAGGAGGGTATTTACGGTCTACCCTAGATATTGCACCAAAATGGTTACTCTTATACGGTAGTGCGCGACAAAGAACAGTAGCAGTGCCGAAACATATTCTCGAGGGCACGGTCCTCAAATGGTTTCATCGTATCTACCAACGACACATGATGCGATACATCGATCCGAAATATACAATGTAGAAAAATAGGACAGCTAAATTCACCGAGCGCATCTATACCAGACATAAAATTCGATAACAAAGGCTAAGGGCTCCATTAGTGGATACGATATTGCGACGAGATAATTGTTTCCATGCAGATTCATAATCATTAGAATAAATAAACGTTTATTCCCTCTGAAAGTGGTCATTCTGTAAGTTCAAACGACAAATTGTGCTTCTTTTGAGTTTTATATTTTATAATCGCAACCCTGTGACTCGTGCCCTGATTCCGTAATCCAGGAGTTCCCAACCTGGTCGTGATCATTGAGGTGCCCAAGGTTAGAATCTATGGGCACATTACTTTCAGAAGAAACAATGTACGTAAAAAGGTGACTGGAGATTGCAATTACTTTTTACAGATGTATCGTTGAACTTACAAAAAAAAGTGTGGTCATAGGATGATAAACTTACGATCGAGCGTTGACATCAGAGACGGGCGAAATTATCATCCGAGTACGATGGAAATTACAATCTAAATTATTCTCGTTATTATTCGAATAAATTCTGTCTATCTCTGATTGACACGCAATGCTAAGAACCTCTGGATACAAGGTATCGGGGTACCCGATAATACACTTCCTTTTGTACAGAATAATAACGACGTGCCTTTGGTATGGTCGCGAGGTAGGATTGATTACGATGCAGTTATTTCGATGTGTAAATGTACGATACATTTTTACTCACTCGTGGTAACTAATTACGCGAAAGAAAGTTCCATATGTGTACTTACAATAAGATTTTACAACCGTTAACAATATAGATATGAATCGATACGACAAAAGCCACAGAATTACGAGGGATTGCCGTTGAACATGCGCTAAAATATATCTCGCAGAAGAAAATTTATGATTAAGAGTATTTTTATCCTTGTATCATACCGTAAACTGTTCCGACCAAAAGTGTCGCAAAGTGAACCATCGCGTCGATCGATCGATCGTCAAACGTGTACGGATTGTGACCCATAAATACATGATTTATTCGTTCCAATTGTTTCCGAAATTTATTTAGATACTCTTCTCTTTACTCTACTTTTTACAATTTTGCCTCGAGAGGTGAGATATTAATTAACGGGGTTTCGCTTTCCTATGCATCAATATGTTATTCGGTGTAGCCGAGGATCGCGTTCGTACATCCGTACGTTTAACAGAAGTATCACATTCGATAAATACGCTAATCGCTACGCGCGATATAACAAAAAGGAAAGAAAATTCCGTGCGAACTGAATTCTAGGAGGCACGTGAATTTCAAAGGATATTTCTCTCGCTTCGAAGAAATCGAAGCGATTGTTACACAAAGTATTACACATGATTCGCTTCTAGTTAAACTCGATCTTACGTAAGAGAGGTATCGTTTAAATATCTTGTAAAAATCTAACCGATATTCCTGTCCTCGGGGAACGTATAGCGAGAAAGAGGAATATCGAGACGAGAAAATTATGTAAATCATCCTACGTACTGTTGGGTTTGACCACTGTACATTTACGTGGACGCGCTCTTCCTTTAAACGCGTGTAATTAATTCTCATTTTTAAGTATTCAAAAGAGAAATGTATAATTACTCTATGCGAAAGATGTAGAACGATTCCGCTCGCGTCGATCGCGGAAAACGAAATACTTTGTACTCGACGGGCGCGAACTTCTTTGCGAAGTTCAACGTATTCATCACTCTTACTTACAATTAGTGTTTCGTCGCGTCTTGTCGTAGTTTTAAGCAGTCTTCTTTTTTTTTTTGTATGTGTGTGTTGTTATTGCATGATGTGTGAGTGTACGCGTGTGTGTATGTGTGTGTGTATGTGTGTATGTATGTGTAAGGAAAAAGAAATACACTAGTATTTCGAGATATCTTCCACGAAGATTGTTCAGTCATATGACAACACGTAAAAGAACCAATACGACCGTGTGCAAAAAAGATTCGTGCAGTAGAGGTTTCAAGGCAAACCATGGAGAACACTGTCGACTAACTCGCACACGTAACTCTCTTCGTCGGTTATCGAGGTGCGTATTGCTCGCGGAACAAGAACGTCTGAACCACAGGGAACACCTTTTTTCCACGCACAGGGGACAACAGGTTCTACACATTGCATACAACGTTCATGCAAAATGGGGCGAGTAAGGCCAGTTATGACCCGTCCGTGTTCAATCCTGAAACAAAAAGAAAACAACGTGAGTTAAATGATATTTGTATATTTCTTTGAAAAGGTAAGTTTATAATTTCTAATGTATTAGGTGGACTACCTCTTTATATGCTCATTTTTACTAGGCTGGTGTACATGAAGTATTGTGTTTTCTAGTCAGCATTGAGAAGTATGTGTCTACGTGTGTATGATGTGCGTATGGATTACTCTATAATCGTTTAGGCTTGCATTTTGCTGCATACCTGGTCAAGACGATTTCGTGGCAAATTCGTGCAGTATGTCGCAAGCCATTTCAAGATCGTTCCTAGTAATACCGAGCGCTCTAATCACGGCGTCTTGCGCAAATCCGAGAGCCGTCAGCTTGGTAATGTGTTCGACGTTGACGTTCTCGTATGCCGCGGTTTCTGGCTTAGCAGAACCGGTGGGATCGTCCTTACCTCTCATTAGGGCGGACAATCGTGCCGTATTCGCTTCCAGATTAATGTTCCTCACGACGTGCTGTCTCGTACCGGGTATCACGATCGTGTTTTCGTAATGATGGTCCTGTTTATTGTGCTCTTTGTTGGCCTTCGGCGGTCGCGGCACCGATAACGGAGGCGGAACCGGTGGCACGTTATTGCTGGACGTCGTTTGACTCGACGCCGAGGATGGGCCACTCGAACGTCTAGGTTTTTCAGGTAATGTCGGTGGCTGCGGTTGCATCGCTGTAACGTGACTTCCTTGGGATCGACGGACGTGCGTTCTGCCAACAGGAAACGGCACCGGTGGTACCGGTGGTGCTGGAGATGGCGAAGAAGCGCGATGCAGCATGTCGTATCCTGCCTCGGAGCTCACTAAAAACAATGAAAGAAAAGTCAGAAGATGCTTGCGTTGGAAAATAAATATGTATACTTTGAGTTGACTGCTATTTACTAGGTCTGAGTTGGGACTTGGAAGATTGATATTGTAATGTGACAGAATGACGAGTGTTTCTACTTAAAGTAGAATTCTAAATGATTGAATATGAAGGCACAGGTATTTATTAATCGTGTCTCGAGCAATAGAAAATGTATTGGGCTGTCTGGAAAGTCCATGCCGATTTTTAGTAGGCGACACAGGTATGAATATGTCGGAATGGCTGAAAACAAATATAACATGTATACATTCCTTAAATTGTGAAAAAGTTGTGGAACAAAATGGTACATATATAATTCAATAAATATACATCAAAATTCAAATATACCTTTGAATTTTTCTTAAAAATACCCATGAACTTTCCGGACAACCCAAATAAGAGCGATGGAATACAATTATCTTTCTGGTTTCAAGAGTGCTAGAGAACAACACTCACTATTATTGTTTTGTTGATTGTCAGCGCTGGAGTTGAATACCGTGTTAATTGCTGGTAACGGCGGTGGCGGTGCATTTTCCTTTGGTACCGTCAAGTGACGACCGTTCCTGGAGTGGCTGTTCGGCGTAGGCGACGGTGAGGGTCGTCGAGGAGGTAGCGGTGGACTCGGCACGATTCTTCGCGTCGAGACAGGGGAGTTCGTTGGACTTGAATCTTCTTCTTCGTCCGAGTCGTCGCATATCAGCCCGCAGTGCCCGTTACAGAGATCCATTATTTCCTAAAACAACGAGGGTAGCAGGAAATTGCATTAACTTCGATACTATCGTTCAACGTGGAAAGAAGGAGAGACTGGCCTCGTTCAACTCTGATCACTTAATTAATGCGACAGAATGCTCGAATGCATATACAGGGTGTTCATATTATCGTGCCAGGCATTCCTCTTGTATCTGTGAGTGAGAGAGAGAGAGAGAGAGAGAGAGAGAGAGAGAGAGAGAGAGCTCGAAACAAAAAAAAGTAAACTGTAACTGTTATCATTCTTTCATTCACAATTCATTTACACGTGAAAATAACATGAACACCCACTGCAACGATTCGACTTTGGTTTTAGACAGCATTAGACTTTTCGCGATTAGACAACTAGACAATTAAGCGTAGAAGTTAAAGTAACTCTTGGACGCGTTAGTCTTCTATGTAACGTAGATTGGCGTCAGTCGAATGAATTTATCCAAGCATACAGGGTGATATTCACGTGAAGCGTATGGAAAAAGATGTGTCGAGTAAATGTTACTTGTTGTTAGGTACGCTAGACAAAACAATTCCACAAAATCGCGCGTTACTCCGTTAATAATAATATTCTCACGTAAAAGGTGAAAAAAAGAATTGAAACGATTAAACACTTGCCAAGTTCGAACGTCTCATGCGGGCCACCCAGTATATGCGAGGAAACAGCACACAATTAATAACGTAGCGTAGTTACAAAGCGTGGAAGCGGAGGATCATAATGCATTTGTCCACTTACCTGCGTTAAACGGCAACAAACCATTCTCCTTCGGCTATGTACATTACCGATTAGGGTTCGATCATGCAGCGGGCAGAGCAATGGACCCAGTAGGTAAACGTTATGAAAATAAAGATATAAACGATCATGCGAACGATAATAACGATTACACCTTCGTTTCGTGTCAATGTTTCCCCCGTTCGTTGGAACAGTGACCGGCAAAGGGGATGCGCATAGCGAAACTAAAAAGTCCAGCAAAACGGTGGCGTGTGTGTTATACATGTGCAGACGTAACTCGGCGCAACGATGATGCGTATAATTTTATTTAAACAAACGAAAACGAGAGGTAATGAGAATGAACGAACGAAACGAGAAGTTCTCGGTACCCTGGTGTCTTACAGTGAGTAGGAGAAAATGCACGCTACAGAGTAATGTTTACGAAATATTTATTTTAGACCTCTATTTCGCCGCTGATATACACAGGCAGCGTTGACGGATATCTGAACAGAATCGAAGGTCGATCAGCAGCACTATTCATTGTACAAGTAATACTAAATGGCTACACGTGAACGCAGTAGAAGTCTAACCGTTAACTTTTTTTTTTTCGAGTTTCTAATGCAACAGGTGGTGTATAGATGCTTTTCGGTGCTTACGTGGCTACGCTCAAAGAATTACCGTTTCTCATCTATTAACTCGTTAAATGGCAATAATTAACTGCCTTAGATAAACCAACGGAAAAAAAAAAATAACTCTCGGTGCAATTTTCTGTTGTCAGCTCGTGCATATATGCCTTAATGCGTACAAGACCTGCGGTGTTTGTGTATCAAGGGGCAAACAAAAAATGATGATACGTATACCAACAGCACCGATATACGGCATTAAGTGCTCTACCTACGCGATCATTGGTAATAAAAACCTTTCAAAGACTTGGTTCTTACGTGAACGGAATAAATAATAAATATCTAAGGTAATGAAAATAATAAACATCTTTACCACGGTAAAGATGCCGCATTACATTGTTCCTATCGCCAACAGGTACGTAATTAAGTCTAACGGAATACAAAAAGAAAAAGAAAACGACGAACGCGGTACACGTTCGTCTAGAGGCTACATAGCACTTCTTGTTACTCGATGTAAGCTGCGCTACTTCGGTTGAAAGATAACTACGCTTTTATCTACTTGTTGTTCCGAGTACTAGCAAAATCTTTGATATGCTTTTACCATGTCATTGCTTATACAAATATTAATAAAATATCGAGAGATTTAAACTTCTGCAAAACAAAGCGAAGAGAGGAATGGAATCGTAAATGAATTTCCAGGAAAACGTGCAGTTGCTTTGTATCATCGACTTCCTACGTTGTAACATAAACGTACGAACGAATCGATTCTCTTTTCGAATTGCACACTAATAAAAACATTAATCCGACGTTACAAGTTTCCTATTCTACGAATGTGTACTCGTATATGTGGATGAACTTTTACCAACTTCAACAGTTGCATTATGCATACGACTGCAAAGAAGACGCTCTCTGCCAGCTATACACGTCGGCGCATGCATGATTAAAAGTCGATTCGTTTCTTAATTGATCCCGTGTAAAAAGGATTTTACTTTGTCGTACAAAAAGCGGATAATCCGTACGTAATCATTGTCGCGAATCACGTACGGGTTGATTCATCTACGGTGTTATTTCTAAACGTTATGTCGTTCGTAAAATGTAGTTTCGTTATTGTAAATAAAACGTTGCACGCCAAGTGCAACTGATCTCGTGTACATTAAACGACACGATGTTTCGCTCCGTGGAAGCATGAGTTACGAAAGCAAACTCTTCATAGTAAATGAAACAAGAACGAATGATTCGTACAATAAGCTCTGAACGGTGTAATGCAAAAAAACAACCTACCTTAGGGTCTCCATGAATGCAAGTTTCTTTTCTTAAAAATAAAAACGAATAAGTAATTCAAACGTGTTAGTTCGATCGAACATTCGTAAACTGCAAAAAAACATTCGTATTAATCGTTCGTTGGACTTTCGAAGGTTTTTGAAAACAATACTGTTAAGCCATTCCGCGTGTTCTTATGTACATACAAAAAAAAAATAATAGCAGAAGTATGATTCGAACAAAGCTCACATAGAGACAAAAAAGTTGGTCCCTTTTTACACTGTTCACTCTTCACACATTCTCTTCAGTAACTTATGCTCAGTAACTTCGTTATTACGTTCAAGCTTGGGTACCTCGCGAGAGGTGACGAGTTCGATGATAATCTTACGAATGATATGACGCAACGATCGTATAAACTCGAAATCTCGCGTGAAATGCGTGAAGCATTCTTTGAAAGTGAGGCATATTGCTGGGAGAAGTTGTTATACATAGAGCACATTTAATATAATGAGGGTAGGTGCTACTCCTAGTCGGATACCTCGGTGTCAGGGTCAAGATCCCGCGTGGGGGTCGATGCATTACTAACAGATGCCGAATGGGTTCCTGACCGATGTGTTCTTCGAGGATCGAATGGATCGATTACTATCTGTTCGGTTCCTTTAATTTCAGCGCGGCAAAACGGACAACCCTGTCCCTCGGAATCCTGCAAAATTGTACATAACGAGTTTGTAGTCTCACAGATTTTTCGATCTAGACGTACATCCGTATACGAGATAACATTAACGTTTAGGTACCTGCCAAGCTGTGAGACACGGCGTACACAGAAGGTGACCGCAGGGTTCTATCCTCACATCCTTGTCATTTTCTGCACAAATTTTACACAACTGGAATGTACTACCCATTTCGCAATATAGTTCGTACTGTTCTGCTGTGACTTTTATGTGTTCTTCTGGAGTGGGTTGCACTGCCCATGTTAGGTCAGGATTTATGTTATGACCATCAGGATATAAGTAACTGAAATTGGAGCATTAAATGGTAGAAACCTCTTAGAGTTTTTTTAATATATCTCGATATGGTATATACTTACAAGCCTTCCCGATATCCGTCGAGCAACGCTTGACAAAGACTTTTATTGTGGGGTATAGTTTGAAGAATGTCTCCATCGGATGTAACATAACCGATGGCCCACTGTCCTAACCTTGTACAACTTAACCGAAACACATAACTTCCAGGTCTGCAATACTTTTGTAAACGTGCTTTCACTTCGTCATAAGTAAGGAAAGCTACGTATCCAGGATGGGTCACAGCCAGAATTTTCCAATTACGTAAAAGCGTAGACCAGGGTTGAAATAACCTATAGGAATAAAAAACAGGTTAACACAACTAAATATTTGATAACTAAAAGGAAGTTTTATATGTTTAAACTTACCTTGTAAATACATCAAACTCAAAATTAGAGATATAGTCATTGCACGTAAGATCTATCGTAGATTTCAATGCCATGGCTTGTAGCACAGAACTAATTGGATGCACTTCGTTTAACTTGTCTCTGAATACTTTCCATGGGACCAATGTACTAAAAACAAAAGCAGAGGTAATTTGTTTTTTGAGCGAGGCATTACCCTTGTCTGTGGAAAATGATAAAACAGAGAAGAGTAAAGGGATTTATAGGGAAGGAAGAGAATAGATGCTATAAAGGTGCAATTCATGTAAAAAATATGTATTTATTTAAAGACACTTATGCATCAACATTACAACGACAACCATAGATTAACGATAGATAGTAAATGTTATCATAAGATTTAAGGAGTCATCATAAGATTCACTGTCATTATCGAATGAATCATAACCAAAAAAATAAAACGTTCAAGTCATTTGGTACGGTGTGTCATCATACACAAGTATGAATTGCGTATGTATGCAAGCCGGTAGACGCTCGTAGATTGCGGCCGGTTGTTCAGCAGTTCAGTGTGAAAGCGGAGCTCTTAGTGCGCGGTCGAGTGTTCTTTCTTTCCGTTTGTCATCGTATTTTCGGTAAGATTCTACTCACTCTCCATGATAATGCATAAACGAGCACCGTGAATCGTATCACCGACGCTTTCATTGTGTACGAATAAAAACGTGGGATTAAACATTGACGTGATACAACGTAAAATATCATACGACTCGAGCAACTCGATAGCATCGTATCTTCGAGGTTAGAACGACGGACGGTAGATGGCAATCGATTTCGAACTGACACGCAAAAAACTAAATATTCAAACGTTTGTCTTTCACATTCGCTTTACAATACAGTTCATTCAATAACAAAGTATTACGCAACACTTTGCAATCTTATCGTAACGTAGTTATCATATCTTTATCGCGATTAGCGTTTCTTGCTTCATTCCTAGACGGTCAATCTATCGTTTCAATAAGTTTGTACACCTTTGTCAAAGTTATTACAATGCCGACGATGAAATTCTACATTTTGCAGAAATCGCAGGATCGTTAGAATTGTTGGTACCGCGGGTTGTTTATTTTAAACCTGTCACGTCGTAAAGTGTTAGTACCACGGTGTTTGCACTGACAATTTCAGGGACAGCACGCATCGTACAGAAGAATGCATTTTATAAAATTGGCGCTGCCTGTGGGGTTTACTCGAGTTATTCGAAATTTCGCAGGCACGTAACTCGATAAGTTTCACACCTTAATCGCCCTCGCTCTGTCCCGTTCTGAGAATAAGATAATCTTTTCAAGGATGAAATTTAATGCGACACCGATCCTTGCAAAGATCAAACTAAGGGATTTATTATTAACAATTGCATGAAACAGCGTTTCAAGCATCGAATAGAAAGCATTTGTATCCCGATAGGTTCGTTCGTACGTGAACGATACAATGACTCAGGGGTTTCTAACTTTTATGTCAACCTCTCTCCAAATACTTCATTCGACTACTTTTTTCTATCAATGCAAAATAAATACAGGGTGTCCCGAAAATGTTGTAACACCTTGAAAGAGGTGGTTCGGGAGGTGATTTGAAGCAACTTTTTCCTTAGCGAAAATGTTGTCCGAGTCTTCGTTGAGGAGATATTAACGGAAAACACTGACCAATCAGAGCGCGAGGATGCCGATGAAGCGGCCGCGGTAGCGTATGAGCGAAGCCGGCTAGCGTGTAGCCTACGCTCAATCGGCATCCTCGCGCTCTGATTGGTCAGTGTTTTCCGTTAATATCTCCTCAACGAAGCCTCGGACAACATTTTCGCTAAGGAAAAAGTTGCTTCAAATCACCTCCTGAACCACCTCTTTCAAGGTGTTACAACATTTTTGGGACACCCTGTATATGTATGTACATCGCGAATAGGACTTTTCGTTAGAATCCCAGATCGATTTTTCTAGCCTGGCGACAATTAGAATGTAAGCAAGAAGCATAAGAAAGTAGCACAAAAGAAACTTTAAAAACAATACGTGCTAAATGTCACAGCATTGAGACGTCAAATCGATATAATACAGTTCCCACAAACCAATGGAAAAACGACCTATGCGCGATGTGTCGTACATTAGTTATGAAGAAGTTGCAAGTAATCGTTACACGAATAAGGTTAGGGTTAAATTAGGGTACGTTCCTAACCTTCGACACGTTCGGGATCTGCGAACACGAGTACACTCGTAACCGATTAGCAGAGTGCTAATTAATTCAAAATGAATTTATTTACATTCGTTTCAAACGATAGAATTGTTTTTATAGAGTTATACAACGACAGCTTCTTACTACAATACCTCGCTAACATAACCGTTGTCCTCTGTATTCGTTGCGCTTGCAATATTTGGTATTTGTTACGAATAACTTTTTTTTTTTTTTAAATATAAAATGTCACTGATTGTAATTATACCGAGATTATTTTAAATATCGATCAATTCCAGTCGCAGCAACAGTCATGAGTGGAAACGAGAATTACAAAGAAGCTAAATCGATTTACGATTTCACGGCCAACAACATCAAAGGCGAGGAGGTTCCTCTCTCAAAGTAAGCGACTATCGCTGGGCTAATTAATTGATAAGACACTTATATATATTTTTAACATTACTGTATCTGCAGATACAAGGATCACGTGTGCTTGATCGTAAACGTGGCGTCAAAGTGTGGTCTCACGGCAACAAACTACAAAGAACTGAATGAATTATACGACGAATACGCAGAGTCCAAAGGTACAGTGAAAGAAACTATCTATAGATTGAACGAAATAAGGAGAATTTTGTGATATCTACGGTAAACAAGTAAGGTATCACCCGAAAGGCCTTCGTTTGAATTTATTTATATGTTTACCTCCCTTCTCTCAATTCTGGTTCGGAAATGATCGATTACAAGAACGATACGTTTACAGGTTTACGAATTTTGGCGTTCCCTTGCAACCAGTTTAATGGCCAGGAACCCGGAGGAAGCGACGAGATCTGCAGTTTCGCCGACCGGCAAAAGGTATTCGAACGTTCCTTATCGTTATGAAATATACGCATACATCGACATCTATAGATGCTCGTGGAAACTTTTACTTAACGTACGTTTCCCTGCAGGTCAAGTTTGACTTGTTTGAGAAGATCGACGTGAACGGAGACGATGCGCATCCACTTTGGAAGTACATGAAGAAAGAACAAGGAGGGACTCTGGGTAGCTTCATCAAATGGAACTTTACAAAGTTCATCGTCAACAAGGAGGGCAAAGTAGTGGAACGACACGGCCCTAACGTGGATCCCAGTAAACTGAAGAGCAACCTTGAGAAATACTTCTAAGCGTTATCGTACTATTTTTATATATATATATTTAATCTGCAACGATTCACATGTAGTACATTTTGTAATCGAGAAACACCAGTCTAGAAACGATGCTTCGACTACATCTCACTTTTATCGGAAACATATTAAGCATGTCGATATTTTATATACATCCTATCGTAAGAGATTCGAGACATACGGATGTAATGTAATCACAGCTTTATTTCTATTTCTTTTCCGTTTACGAAACATGACATTGTACACACCTCGCATTAAGACGTCAATGCAATTCAGAAATATCACGGATTACTTTTTTTTACGTGCAAACGAACATTCTTTTTTTTACGAGTATAGATGGATGCATGTATATATTTTATTTCCGTATGTAATATATAAGTGAAAACCAATAAATAGGGTGTCAGCTTAATATCGAAATTAGAAATTTTTGAATTATTCAAAGAACCATTCTTGTCTGTAGGGCGTCGAAGGGATCGCGAGACAATTAAATTCAGTCGCATAAAAGGCGCTAATGATGTTAAAAATAGGCTTGGTCACGAACAAACGTAAACGCCGTGACGTAGATCGAAAGTACGCCTATGGCGCTCGCTACTACCACAAAAAGGAAAAGACAATAGTCGGTACATCAGAGAAATCTATAATTGCGATGGGCCTTTGAAACACGGGATAGCTTTGATGAGTCGCACTGTATTCGTATTTTCCCCGAACGGTGACAGTCGGTCGGTGCAATATCCGGGAAGTAATTTGGTAGATTCATCATCCATCCTCGGCCAAATTCCCCCCGCTGTTTTCACAATGTCTGTTTCGCGACATGCGATCACCGGCTGTCCTAGCGGAAGAAGACGTTTCCGTCGAGTGCAGCTGACCGTCTTATTTTCAATGCTAATTTCGATCATTCCAGGTCCCCACGTAAGACTTTTGTAGCGATTCCGTATCCTTTTTAGGACAGCAGGCGTCGGGATACATTTTCTCGATTCTTTGTATTTTTAACACGTTCACTGCCAGACTAATACTTTTGAAAATGTCTACTGCGATTTAACTTTGTTTACAGACTTTTGGAAACTGCGTAATGAAATATTTATTTTGGTATTTAGTTCTGTAACTTCATCAAAATTCAAGTGTTTCGTTTAAATTCATTTTCTATGACGCTTAACTTTCAGAATTAATAGTTTTCGTTTTTCAGTGAAAAGCACTGTCACCCATATATGGGTGACGTGGCGATCAACGTGTTAATAGTTGACAGAGAATTGTAGATTGACTTAGTGACAAGCAAAGAAAGCATTGATTTAATTTGTTAGGCGCAGAAATTAATTATGCGCGTTCGTTAGATTTTGTTCGGCCGGTAGACAAAATTCTTGGTCGTTAAAATACGCGTTATTTCTGCGACGACCGGATATATAACGCACAGATTCGTCACGGAGTACGTTCCAACAGTGTCAGAAATTAATTCGACGTTCTTCGCTCGAAAAATGGGTCGATGCATCCCAGGCACATTCGAGCAACACGATGACATAATTACGGGCCATCGTGTCCCGTGCGAGAGCAGGTCAAGGATGAAAGGCGAACACACTCGACCCACCGCGAAATACTTTTCTCTCGTTATATTTCCTTGCGGATTAAACATTTCGGATGAAGCCCTGCTATGACCGTTTCATTTTATTTGCGCAATGACTTTACTCGCCATGACAAACGAAAAAGAAACGTTCTATTAGGTCGTCCCATAAGTTCGTGCCGAAGACTGTGACGAAATTTAATAAAACAAAAACCACAGAAATTTTCTAGTAACGGTACAATGACTATATGAGAGAGGTGAGAAACTATTGTGAAATGAGACAGATTATCTTTTCTTGTGACACATAAAAGTATTAATATTCACATATTAATCGAAGAAATAGAAGTATTAGGTAGACTGGAAAGCAATGTCGTTTCTTTTACATTAAATTCAAACAAATTTTTAATAAATTTCTATGTTTAATCAATTATGAAATCGCTCTCGTTATCAGCAGCCTTTTGCCGTCAGGTGTGCAAAATTTTCAATGGCAAATTGATAAAAATCAATGAGCTGATGAGTGATAAACGAATATTTAAAATTGCAAAAACGACATTACTTTCCAGTTTACCTAATGTAAATGGCACGAACTTTTACGACAACTTAATATAAAAGGGCGAAAGGAGTATTTTTTTCGTCTGGCGAACAGAAATACTCTTCGCCTCGAGTTATCTTAAACGACGACGATCGCCATTCGAATTCTTTAAACAAACAAAAAATTGTTCCTTGTAATTCTTTCGGATTATTATTGCATATAATTTTGTGTGTGCGTTTTCTATATCGTTGTACGTCACGAATCCATGAAATTCCCAATTTGCTCATACGTGTTAATTGCGAAGCTGAGCAGCGCGAAGGTGTTGGACGTTTAAGACTTAAAATCGCGTTCGATGGAACCCAGGCAGCCTTGCCTGAGATCTGAGTAACGGGACGCAGGTTAAGAAGAGAAGAAAAGAGGCTAGGCGTACGCCGAGGCGCGTGTCCTTCCTGAATTTCAATCCTGAGTCGCTTTACGTCACCGTTAAACTGGGTCACGTCCTCTATTGCAGGAGTACCCCGTGTCTCGGAATTGAATGTACCGCGATATATCTGTACGTACGCACATGTGTATATACATATATAATATATATACATATGCATAGACGGCGCGTGGTTAATGTACAAAACGAAGCCGAGAGATACTAACGCTATAATTAGTCGTCCTTGCTTGCCGACTGATCCGAGGCCCGCCTCCATTCATAGATCGCTGCTTTTCCAACGCGTCGACGTAGTCTTCCGCTGATTCGCACCCTCGTGCGAAATCAGCACCGTAACGCTCACTATTTCTGTTGACATTTCACGTTCTTCCACGTGGCAGCAGGGAATTGTAACGCAGGCTGCGTACAATTTCGTATATTACGATAAAAATAGCAAAGGTGTCCTCTTATCAGTTGAGGCTGTATCGATTATGTCCGCAGGGGATTCGTATTAACGGCGACCATGTAAGATACCTGTTTCTTTCCGAGATTTTTTCCGAGGTCTATACGTAAACATATCGTATCGCGATTGAACTTGTTTCTTTTTCAGCTTAATAGCCGCGGCAAAGAAAAATATAGGATTCGTAAAAGAAAAGCTTGCTCGTCGTAAACACTTGGTGCTCGGATACGAGCAATGTACGATATACAATAGTTGTACATGTGTTTATACAATTTATATACTTGTTTAAGTTGTATTAGGTCGTTCCATAAGTTCGTGCCGATGACTGTGTCGAAATTTAATAAAACACTACAGAAATTTTCTAGTAACGGTATAATAACTATGTGAGAGAGGTGAGAAACTATTGCGAAATGAGACAGATTATCTTTTCTTGTGACACTTAAGAGTATGTTTAACATATTAATTTGAGAAATAGAAGTATAAATGACACCAACTTTTAGGACGACCTAATATACAGGGTGTCCCAAAAGTCGGGGAGGAGCCGGAAATGGGGGGTAGCTGAGACGATTCTGAACAACAATTTCCTTTGCAAAAATGTCGGATGAGGCTTCGTTAAGGAGATATTAAGAGAATACCCCGACCAATCAGAGCGCGCGTAGACCGTTGGAGCGGCCGCGGTAGCGAAGGCTACGCGCTAGGCGGCAGCGTCAATGTCCTTCGATGCACGTCGAGTCACTTGTTCGCGTACAAGCGCGGCCGCCAGCGCGTAGCCTTCGCTACCGCGGCCGCTCCAACGGTCTACGCGCGCTCTGATTGGTCGGGGTTTTCTCTTAATATCTCCTTAACGAAGCTTCATCCGACATTTTTGCAAAGGAAATTGTTGTTCAGAATCGTCTCAGCTACCCCCTATTTCCAGTTCCTCCCCGACTTTTGGGACACCCTGTATATCGATGTAAAGACCACCCGCGGGGGGGTTGAACGGCATTGACGGGCCCCGATGTCTATCAGCTATTCGTGTCTGAAGAGTTACGACGAAAAACCAGTCCCTCCTGCCCCCGTTGCCAGTCGGCGAGTTAAGCTCGCATCCGGACGTGGAGCCGAAGCGGAAGGAAGGGGACGTGACGTCGCGATTAAAGCGAATTAAACGAGCGAATTGTACGAATCGTCGTGGCCGCTCGTAGACCAACGTTTCGCGACTATACTTCGTCTACGTTATTTTTTTGAAACATTCAATCCGCGATATCAAGGCACAACGTTCAAAATAACCTTCCGAAGAGAGTTGAACCTCGATATGTGCACTCCTTTCTCGCTATTGTTGTTTACAGGTGGAAGTGGACACTTGGCAACAGGTGAAAATGGAGGTCGAAGGTTTTTTTGAAACTTTGAATCCGCGATATTAAATCACAACGTTCAAAATAACTTTCGGAGAGAGTTGAACCTCGATATCTGCGCTCCTTTCCCGCTTTTGTTGTTTACAAGTGGAAGTGGACACTTGGCAACAGGTGAAATTGGAGGTCGAAGGCTTCCGTTTGAGACACCAACAGATCGATAAGATGTTAACCTCTTCACACCTGCTGTACGGTGTACTTAAAACCTCGCGGACGGTTTGTAACTGTACTCTTGAACTTCAGACCAAATAGATCCTATAGATCCTTTTTGACCAACTGCAATTACATTTAGAAACTGTAGTATCGCGCCCTCTCACCCGTGCCCAGTGTAAATCAGAAATGAAATAAGAACATTAATGCCAGAGTGAGAGATGGTCCAGTTGGAAAAGCGATCGACTGCCAATACAGAGGTCCCGAATTAGGGAAGCTTGCTTGCACACAGGTGCAACTCTCCGCGTGTCGTTAGAAGCATCTTTGGTTCGGTGGAGCGACGACGATGTTCGATATAACGTCGATAATGCGATTAACGGTAGGCATCGCCCCGAGTAGCCTCACAGAGATTCACGCAAGCACGTAGAACCTTTGAAACGAACCTTGAAACGCAGACTCCAGGCGTTTCGCTAACATTTTCCGTGGGTGTACGTTCTCTGTATATTGCATAATTGCATCGAACCGTCGATAGTTCGAAACCATCCGAACATTTCCGTCGAGGGCACGCGAACGAAACCACGTCAAAGCCTCCAGGTTCAAATTGATCGTGAAAACTGCATAAACGGATAAGAATTTCCTCGCTGGTTGCTCGAGGACATCGATACGACGTCCTTCATGGACATCGTCGAATTCAAAGTTTATTATTTATTATTACATAAGTAAGGAACACGCAGGATGTTTTCGTAACATGTTC